GAGGCTGAGTCACCCTGAGGTGGAAGTGGTGACTTTCTGAGCCCTTCACCAGGACAAGGCTTGGGGTGGGTGGGGACAGACACTGGGGAGAGGAGTGTAGAGGCTCTGGCTGGTCTCCCAGGCTGAGGAGGGGCCTGCGGCCAGGCCAGGAGCCCGCAGAGGCCAAGGAGCCTGGCTGTGGTCGGACTCGGGTGACAGGGACGGCTCACACCCCCCCCAAGATCTTCCTCAGACTTCTTGTCCTAAGCGTGCTCCGTGTTGGGTACAAAGTCACGAGCACTAATTGCCCTGGGCCATGGCCAGCTTCCCGCTGAGCTGGCTGTGGGACAGGCCGCCTGCGCAGAGCGGCCCTGGGAGCAAAGGCTGGCGCCTACGACAAGACAGTCATTCACCCCACGGGTGGGCATCACGTGGGGACTCACCCAGGGCCAAGCCCACCAGCCTCCATGGGTGCTGGCCTGGGGCGCCCCAGCCACAGGGCTCTGAGATAGAAAGGACGGAGGGGCGGGGGCTGGAGGATGGCGGGAGGCCCCCCTCGCCCATAGCAGCCTACCCCTTCGGTTTCGCGCGTCCTCCCGCTGGATGTGGGAAGCTCTGCTCCTGAGATGCAGGTCCAGCCCCCGCCCATCACTCTGCTCTAAATCCTCCTGGGGCTCCCTACGCCCCCGGGGCCAAGCCCAGGCCATTCAGCAGGTGCAGGTCCTTTCAGCAGCAGCCCGCCCAGCCCGCTCTGCAGCTCCGTCGCCTACCCCTCCTCCAGGTGCTCTCCTGTGCCGGGCCTGCATGTCCCTCGCCCGGAATGCTCACCCTCCTCCCACATCAACCCACGCCATCCTTTCCCGGGAGCCTCCCCTGCCAGCCCTTGCGCCTAGGGCTGCCCCTCTGTGGTCCAGGGCATTCCCAATTGTTTCTGTTTCCTTGTCCACCTCCCCCTCACCTCCAAGGTGGGATCCTTGTCACAGTCATCCCTGTGTGACAGCTGGGGGCCTCGGCAGGGCTCGATGAACGAGTGAGCCGTTACAAGCTGGGGCCAGTGAGTGGGTGAGGGGACACACGGGTAAGTCACAGCTCAGTCTAACAAAGAACATGTCACTGCTGAGAGCTCAAAGCTAGCACAGAGCCTCTCCAGAGGGAGTGAGACTCCTGTCACAGGAGGCATGCAAGTAGACCAGTCAGGATACCACTGAGCGGGTTCCTGCCCTGAGCAGGTGTCAGAATCCCTGGGCTTATATTAAAACTGAAAATCCTTGCTGACTACAGGCGTCTTGAGTCAGACTCTGGGGGCGCCCAGGAGCCTGCGCTTCTCACACTGTGCTGGTGACAGTTGGACCGGATGAGCCCCAGGTCTCCTTCCCACCTGAGGTTCTACTTTGGATGCCCTCCGCCGTCCCTCAGCAGCTGGGTTGCGGCCGGGCTTGCCTTGCCCTTCCTGGGGTCTGCCGTGCCCAGCACTGGCCTCTCCTGCGTGCCCGTCCCGAGAGCGGGGGCGGGGGGGGCACCCCCAGCCTACAAGGGCAGAGCCTCCACACTGCGGGAGAGGTCCCTTCCGCAGCAGTGACCTGGCCTCGGAGCCGAGGTACTCGGTGGCCCGCTGTGCTGCTCGCGCCTGGAAGCCCTGTCCTCTCTCTGGTCTTTGGTCCCCATTGCCGTGGTCTCCCGAGAGCCTTCCTGGCTTGCTCCCAGGCCAGACAGTGCAAGCTTGGCGAAGACTCAAACCTGACCATTTACTGAACCTGTCCTGGGTGCCAGGCAGGGTCCTGGCCACGGGGAAGGAGGAGAGTTTGCCATGAGCCCTGCTATAGAGAGCAGATCCCAGAGGGGACAACGAGCTGGGTGTCGAGACGAATGTGGGACAGGCCAGGCGGTCGCTGGTCCTGGAAGGCCACGCCCTTGTCAGAGTGTGAGACCCGGGTTCCTCAGGGCAGGCACCCTTCCTGCCTCCCTTCCCCACCCCGTTCCCCGGCTGCACAGCCCCCAGCCATCCATGGGACATTTCTGTTATAAAACGTGTGCACGTCACCGTCCCACTCAGGACCTTGCCACAGCCTCCACCACCCCCAGCCGCGTTTCCAGCCTGGTGTGGCCAGGCAAGTCTCCTCCTGCCCCGTGCTGTTCCTCAGACACCTCTGGGGCCAAAGCACAGACCGCCGTGCCCCACACCCCTTGTCACCAGGCCCTGCTGCTCTCCGGCTCCGTGTCCCTCCTTACCCCAGGCCCACGCCACCCCCTTCCTCCAGGCCTTACAGCCTCTTCCCACCTGCGCCCCCAGACCCCCCTGAGCCCCGGGCAGTGCAGTCAGTGCCGTGGTCGTGTAATTCCGTCTCTTGCCCCCCCAACACAGAATCTCAGAGTGCGGAGCACCGGGGGAACCGAGTTCTTCACGCGGTCGGCGACCAAGTTCAAGGGTGCCCTGGCCCAGAAGTTCATGTTCGTGGATGGAGACCGGGCCGTGTGTGGCTCCTACAGGTGACTCCCTGGCTTTCTGGGGGTTTAGGGCAAAGTTGCCTCTGGTTCCCAGCCGGTTTCTGCCCTTAATCCCGACTATGACACCCTCGTTATTCCGGTTCATTGGGCCCAAAACTGCTGAGGTGTGCGTGCGTGTCTCTGGAGCCAGGCAGAGGAGGGCGTTTGTCCGAAGACACTGTTGTTCCATCCTGGAGGTGTCACCAGCCTGGAGGTGGGGTGTGGGCCAGCCAGGCTGTGCCTTCCCAAGGCCCCAAGGCGATCACTCTGAGGGCTGTCCTCGGCTGTGGGCACCTGCACATGGGCCAGCGGGGTGAGGGCTGCCCGCAGACACTGGGGGGTCGGTAACAGCAGAGACACTGATGCGGCACAAGTCACCATGTGCTACATGACCTCCGGTGTCCAGGGCTGCACTGGGCGATCTCACGCTGCCCTGGTGACCACCATAACAGTCTGAGAGGAGCGCAGCACCGAGCGCTGTGCGAGCGCCTCACCTGAGGTCGCAGACCCTGATCTGCCCCCACGGCTGGGCCCTGCCCTCTGCCCTGCTCACTTCTCGGTCCCGGGGCCCTGCAGCCAATGCCTGAGACACGCCAGCTGCGGGGAGGGGGCCGGGGCTGGGGGCTGGGCCTGGGGCAGGAGGCAGGTCCTGCGTGCCTGACCAGTGCCACCCTCCCTCTGTGTTGCAGCTTCACGTGGTCGGCCGCGAGGACGGACCGCAACGTGATCTCCGTGCTGTCCGGCCAGGTGGTGGAGATGTTCGACCGGCAGTTCCAGGAGCTGTACCTCATGTCACACAGCGTCAGCCTTAAAGACATCCCCATGGAGAAGGAGCCCGAGCCGGAGCCCATCGTACTGCCCTCCGTGGTGCCCCTGGTGCCCGCGGGTACCGTGGCCAAGAAGCTTGTCAACCCCAAGTACGCTCTGGTCAAGGCCAAGAGTGCCGACGAGATCGCCAAGACCTCCTCTGACAAGCAGGAGGCCAAGAGGCCCCCAGGGCTTCGGGGCCCGGTGCTGGCCGAGGGGCCGGGAGACCTCCCCGAGCCGCTGCCATCCATCCACCCAGGGCTGCTCCACCTGGAGAGGGCCAACATGTTTGAGTACCTGCCCACGTGGGTAGAGCCTGACCCCGAGCCAGGCAGTGACATCCTGGGCTACATCAACATCATCGACCCCAACATCTGGAACCCCCAGCCCAGTCAGATGAACCGCATCAAGATCCGAGACACGTCCCAGGCCAGTGCCCAGCACCAGCTGTGGAAGCAGAGCCAGGACGGCGGCACCCCCCCTGAGCTCCGCCCTCCCCCAGGTCCCAGTGCCCTCCAGGACGGCGCCCCAGCCCAGAACGGCCTCCCCCACGGGGACCCTGAGCCACTGCCCCCCGTGCCCAAGCCCCGGACGGTCCCTGTGGCAGACCTGCTAGCCCATGACGACGGCAGTGTTGGCTGGGCCCTGGAAACCCCAGAGGAGGAGGCGCCCCAGAACGGGACCGGCCACAGTCTGCCCCGGCTGGTGGGCCCAGGCCACGCACCGCTCCAGCGGCAGCTGTCGGTGACTGAGGATGACCCCGACGGCCCAGGGGCAGGGATCCCGAATGGGCTGGACCAGGAGGAGGAGGAAGACGACGATGACTATGTGACCCTCAGTGACCAGGACAGCCTCTCAGGCAGCTCAAGCCGTGGCCGTGGCCCCCGGCGGCCCTCGGCGGCCTCCTCCGTGTCAGACGAGTACTTCGAGGTGAGGGAGCGCTCAGCCCCTCTCCAGAGGCGCCACTCAGAGCAGGTGGCCAATGGCCCGGCCCAGCCGCCCCGCCGACAGCTGAGTGCCCCCCACATCACCCGAGGGACCTTTGGCGGGCCCCTGGAAGGCTCCCCGTGGGCCCAGGGTCGGGGGAGAGAAGAGGTGGATGTGCCAAGGAGGATGCAGGCCCAGCGCCCCTCGGACAAGGAGCCACAGGTGGGTCGGGCCCCGCACTGGGGCCCTGCGTGTCCCTCCCTACACGCTGCCTGAGAGCCTGGAGCTGCCATCTGGGCTGCCACATCCCTGGCACCAACGGCTTTCTTTTGCAGATGGGGAAACTGATGAACAGGCAGGGTGGGGCCCACCTAGGGCCACGTGGCAGACCATCGCTGACACTGAAGGCCCTTGGTCCCAGAGTCCCCAGGAGGCGACCTAAGGAAATGCGCATTTCCCTACCCAGAGGTCTCAAACACCTGTCATAGGATCTTGATGCCACTTGCCAGGGGCCTGGTACAGTCCCTAGTTTACAGATGACGAAACGGCGGGGCACAGAGATGATCCTTTACAGCTTTGAGGTCACAGAGCAATAAGCGTAACTGGTCCAGACCTTGTGCCAAGCCCTCTCCATGTCCACCCCTTTGATTGTACCTCTGGGACCACTCTCCCCTCTCCCCCCACCAGGGTGGGAAACAGCTTGCATGGATGCCTTGCCTCTCCTCCTGGTGACCTTTGCAGGACAAGGACCCCGGACCCTGGGCGCCCTGTAGCCTGGGCTCAGCACCCAGTGCCCGCCCTACCTGGGAACAGCACCCGGCTGATCATGCCTGGCATGATGATCAGGCCCATGGGGAGCATCTTGAGGTAGCTGGCGAGGATGGAGCCCGCCCTGGCGTGGTTCAGGTCCCGGGCGGACAGTGACCGTTGCACGATGACCTGGTGGTGGGTGAGAGACGGGTGAGTTCCAGCCCTAGGGGTTGCCCGTGTCAGGATTAGTCTCCCGCGGGCCAGCGGGGGTGGTGCGAGACGCACCGTCCCATTGGCCCCCGACCTGCCCGAGGCAGCCACACTCAGGGCCCCGGACCTGATGGCATCCAACCAGGGGTGCTGTCCCCGGCTGGCCGAGCAGCGAGGGCCAAGGTACGCTCCTTCCCAGGGACTCAGTCCCCGCCTGTCTGTAGGGAAGTGTGGATCCTGCCCCGGCAGCCGTCAGGGCTGGAGGAGACCCTGGGTGGGACGGTATCAGGGCCACGACACCCCCACCCTTGTCTCCTGGACCCTCATGAGAGTGGCCGGCACGTTCGTGGTGCCAGGATCGGGCACAGGCACACTGTGTTTGTGCGGCTGGCAGAGATAGGGGCTTTCAGAGCTGGGATCTGGGGAAGCTGCACTTGGGCAGTGAGGGGAGGCTGGACCCTGCCCAAAGGGACCAGCTCCTCTGGGACTTAGACAAACCCTAACTGGGCCTCAGTTTCCAGATCTGCAAAATGGGAGGAGGGAGCGGTGATTTGGAGTGATGATGTCTGAGATCCCTCCCAGGTCTGATACTGTGATTCTGCTTTAAAAAAAAGTGTAAGCCTATAAACAGGTTTGTTGAGATATAATTCACAGGCCACACGGCACCCACTTACAGTGTACACTCCTGTGTTCTTTATACATTCACAGAGTTGTATGACCATAACTCTGAAATATAGTATCTTTCTTTTGCTGTTCCACAGTTTAAATCACCACCTGTGACTCAGAAGTAGGAATTGCCAGTGATTTTAGCTTCTTTTCCAAGCATGCTAGCATAACGGTAGCTCCGAGCATTTACCCCAAGGCGTGGCTGTCGCTGAAACTTTAATTACAGAGGCAAAGAGTGTCCATGGGCTGCAGCCTTGGGAGGGCAAGGCAAGCGGATGTCCTTCCTGCTTCTCTGCCAGCTTGCTGTGACTAGGGACAAGTCCTGCCCCAGTTGGGCCTCAGTTTCCCCATCTGGACAATGAGAGATTCTGTCTAGACCCTTCCCCTCAACTGTCCTGTGATTGCAGGAGCCTGGCCTCAGTTCTCATGGGAGAGAAGCATTTCCCTGCCACCTGCACATCATGTTCTGCCACGGACGGGGATGTTGGTGTCCCTGCTCCATTCTGTGCTCCTGGCAGGGCAGAGAAGCTGAGGGTCAGAGTTTCCATGAGCCCTGAGGCCTGCAGCCCCCTACCCAGCAGGGCAGGGTCCCCCCACCTCGAGTGTCAGGCAGCAGGCTGGGGCCCTCCCCTCGATGTCAGCGGGCCACTGTTCCCCTAGTGCCTCTCAGTCCTGGCCAGGCCCACACCCGCTCCACGAGCCGGGTCATTTCTCCTCCTGAACCGCTGGCTCCTCTGCAAACGGGTTATACCACCGACCCACAGGGCTGCTGCAAGGACTAAGTGAGGCCACTGGTGCAGATGGCCGAGCTTGTGCCCGGCTCGTCAAGGGCCTTCGGCAGATGTGAGTTCCCTTCCTCGGTGAATTTTTAGGGTGTGGCCACCAGAGTCAGCCGTGGCCGACCATGAAAGCTGTGGTCACTGTTACAACTGAGGCTGCTGCTGCTGCTAACAAAGAAGACGCCCGTCTCGAGCTGCAGCATCAGCAGGTGACAGGAGCTGGCAGGACCCCAGATGGCCTTCCATGCAGACGGGGACACTGAGGCCCAGGGAGGGGCAGTGTCAGAGCTCAGATGGGAGCCCAGGCCAGGGCTCTGCCCACAGGGCCCTCTGTCTCTTTATTTGTTAGTGGCCTTGTTTGTTCCTGATTACAAAAGAGCCTCCTGCTTATCGTGGATGAGCCAGAAGACAGTGAAAAGTCTAAAAAAGAAAACGAAAAGCTCTCGTGTCTCAGCTGAGGCAAGCAGAGCTGCTGCTGCCCTCTGGCCAGCCTGCAGGCGCCTTTGACGGCTGCCCCGACCTCGGAGCTGAGTGGAGTCAGACCCCAGGAGCCCTGAAAAGTCCCCAGGTCCCAGCGAGGGCCACGCAGACTGGGGAGCCTTGAGCAAGACCAATGCCAGTGTAGCTGGGGGCTCTGAACCGAGGCCCTGCAGCCTCCGGGCAGACCCAGCTGGAGGGGAGGAGGACAGGGCAGAAGGGCGGTCGCCTGGCCGTGGGCCTGATGCCGGCTGCTACTCTGGACCACCTGGGGTCAGCAGCGCCCTCATCCGCCTCCCTGTGTGACCCTCCCTGGGTCTTGGGCTCCTCATCTGTGCACTGGGCCCATCCAGCCCTGACCCCAGGCCAGGACATGTGCTGACTCATTTGGCCTTCATGGAAAAAATCTCCTGAACGGCATCCCACCCAGAGATGCCCGTGCCAGGCCAGGCCGGCACTGTGCGGGGAGGAGACGGGAGGTGGCGAGGGCACAGTCGCAGGGGCATCCAGTGCCCATCCTGCCTCCATGGCTAACCATTCAGCCAGCCCCTCGTCCACTCGGCCCTCCCACGGGAGCCGGGCAGACGCCTGCCGAGGGCGCATTCATTCCTGCAGCCGATGTGGATTCTCCAGAGTAGAGGGTGCCAGAGTGGGAGGGGCTTGCTTGAGGGCTGCATGTTACAGATGGGGAAACTGAGGCACAGGCAGCCCGGGTCACTTGGAACCCAGGGAGTATCTTCGGTCCGATGCTGACAGAGCCCCAGCTGCTGGGGAGAGGAAGAGCCGGCTGGAACCCGGACGAGTCACTCCATTCTGGGTTTGGATCCGGCTCTGTTTCTGGGCCTCGGTTTCTGGCCTGTGACGGGCTGGCTGGGCCTACTCACAGGCAAGGCCATGTGTGACAGGCTCGTGTGAGCCCTGTCATCGCCCATCCCACAGCGGCTGGCCAGGGCCTGCTGGCCTGGCTGCCTCAGCGCCTGGCGGGGCCCCAGGGTGGGTCCGGAGGCGCGGACAGTCGGGCCCACCGAGGCCCTGCTGCTGCACAGGCCTTCCCTCCCGCGTGCTCCCGGACGCCCACGGCCTTCAGGGCACTGTCTGCTCCTGCCCAGAGAGGGCAAGTGGCTTGTTTGAGGTCACCTGGGAGGGCTCATGACGGGGACAGGACCTGAGTCACCCCTGTACTCAGCAGAAATCCCGGCACTGCCTCCGACAACCCCAGGCAGGCTTTTTCCACCCATACCCTGCCCCGGTACAGGTAGAGGCCGCTGGGGCAGGGATGGGGGTGTGAGAAGAGCAGCAGGAACTCGCCTCATCACAGCCACAAACCGCAGGATTACTCCCATGTGACAGACGAGGAAACTGAGGACAGAATGGTTAAACCAGCTGGTGAACGGCAGAGCCAGGAGGTGAACCCAGGTCTGCTCGGCTCTAGCATGCCTGGGGACAGTCCTGTGCAAGAGGTGGAGCCAGCCTTCCCTGCCCCCAGCCTCGGGGTCTCACTCTGCTTTCTCTCTCTCCCAGGGCCAGCAGTTCCACCATTGTAGGGTCCCCGTCTCGGGGACCAGGAGTAAAGATGGCTTCCCGGGAGCCCCTCGGTACCGCCCTGCTGCTGACGGGACCCAGAGCTCTGCCAGGAAAGCAGGCCGGGCTGTGGCAGGCCCTCACCACTGGCAGGCCAAGGGGGACCCGACACCCCGTGTGCTGCCAGACCCTGCAAGCCCGAGGCTGGCCCGAAATGCCAACCCCCTGGCCGGTGGCCGAGCCACTAAGGAGCATCCGAGTCCCTTTGGAATCCCGTACTCCAGACTGTCTGAGTCGAAGCGCCTGAAGGCCAAGACGGGTGGTGGTCAGTGGGCCTCATCCGATTCCAAACGGAAGGCTCAGGCCCCCCAGGACCGCAAGGACCCCTAGCAGCCTGTCCCCGCCTGGAGCCATGCCCCCCCAGGCCTCTGCCCAGCCCAGACTCACGATGCAGGAAAGCAGACGGCCGCCTGCGCCCTCCACACCCCGCCTGGGATGGTAGGAAAGGGAGGTGGGCAGGTGACGTCGGCACTCACCTGGTCAGTGCACCAGTACCAGGTGGCCATGATGGTCAGGCCGAAGGTCATCCCAGTCCACGGCAGGTCGCCTGTGTGGGGGTCTCGGAACATGTGCATGGCGTCTGTCCTTGGCAGGTGGCAGGTGGTGTTGGCGATGGTCCTGGAGGGGACGGCCCGGGCGTAGGCTGCCTCCAGCTGTCCGTAGCCACCGATCTGGTCGAAAGCTGGCGGGATCGGGGTGGGACAAGGACAGTTTGGTGGTTGGGGGACCTGACTCCCTGGGCTCCCACTGCTCTCATCTCGCAAGTAACTTCCTGAGACGTCAAACTCGAGTCTTTGCCACCTCGTCTTTCCCAGTGTTTGGAAAGGTGTGAAGGGTAGAGGGTTTAAAAAAAAAAGGTGAATCTGAATGACTATTTTATTTGTATTTAAAGTAACACTACTAAGTGAGCGTTTTGCACGTGGGCACCCCAGTGTCTGGTTAGCCGGGCAGGGTCGCTGCCAGCCTCTGGATGCTTGCTGGCCTCGGGCCAGCAAAAGTGTTTTTTCTTGGGTTTAAGTACCTTCCTGAGGCATCCGAAGTGTTAGAGTACCTGACCGGGGCGCCCAAAGACAGAGTTAAGAGTGGTTGCACCCCGCCCCCGGAGCCACAGGGCCGGGCAGGGGCAGGGGAGGAATCAGGCCGGGGGTTCTGTCCTCTTAAGTCCCGGCCACGTTTGCCCCTCACTGTTCCCATCTACCTCGGGGTCAGGGCTCTGTGTGGCCAAGCCCTGGCCCGTTCGTGGCTTTTGCCGTGTCTGTGGTCTCTCCCTTCCTGTCCAGACTGGGCCTGGTTGCCTGGGTCCCTCTCATGCAGTGGGCTCAGGGACACGGGGCCCCTGTTCTGAGAAGGGGAAGCTTGGAGGTGGGAAAACCCCTGTCTCCACCCCAGGCCCCATTCCCCGTCCCCAGCTGTCCTGGAGGATGTGGAAGGGGAAGGAGAAGACTGCTGCCTGCCTCTCCCACCCCGCCCCAGGCCAGGGGCTGTGTTATACCAAGGATCCTTGTGCATCTCAGAGCAAACAAACACTACACAGGTTCCCAATCTGAGTCTGGAGGAGTATTTCAAGGTCTTCGTTCACTCTCCGTGGGGTTCTCCTGGCTCTGCTTGCATACTTCCAGAGACAGGGAGCTCACTACCTTCCGGGGCAGCCCCACGAGCTTCCTATTTGTTCCAGACTAATATTGCCAATCTGTCTAAGCTCTCTTCTCTCCCCTCCGCTGAACACCGTTGTCTAGCAGGAGGTGGCATTACTTCTTGGGATTTTGTACATGATGTGAAACAATTGGAGGAGATGCCCAGGCAGTCCTGTGGCCTCCTAATTGTGTGTCTGCACACCTGCCTGTGGCCCCACCTCACTGGCCCAGCCCAGTGTTCCCAAGTCAGCTCCTCGCCAGACCCAGAGCCGGCCTGGAGCTGGTGACAGCTGGGCAGCGGGGGTGGACAGCAACAGTCCCCAGAGGGCTTGCTGCTGGGACAGCCCCGCTGCAGCTGCAGCCCACAGTCCTCAGCCCTCACCTCTGACCGCCAGGATGACGGCCCCCACCACCATGATGAGAGTCTGCAGGGCGTCCGTGTAGATCACAGCGGCCAGGCCCCCTGCGGGTGGAAACAAGCTTGCTGGAGGGGGACCTGGCCCCAGGGAGCACAGACACAGGAAGGAACTTCCAGAGCTCCTCCGAGGTGGCTGTTCCACATGCACTGCCCCTGTCCTTTATAGGCGGGTGAGCTGAGCCTCAGCCAGGCTCCAAATCCCTGCTGACTCCAACCGGCCACTTTGCAGGCTGCTCCCCTGGTCCTGTAGGAGGTGGCCCTCTGCCTCCTGCACCTGTCCCTGGCTGCCCCATGGGGCAGGGGCAGCATACCTGCGATGGTGTACAGGGCTGTGATGACGAGCGTGAGGATGGTGGAGAGGTAGAAGTTCCAGCCCAGGCAGATGTGCACAAAGAGAGCCCCGGCATACAGGTCCAGCTGGGGAGGGAGACAGTCTTGTGCGGACGTCCCAGGTCACTGTTAGACCCAGCGGTCCAGCAAGCCATTCACTTGCCGTGTGACCTCAGGCAACGGCCTCTGGGCTGTGGTGCCCTGTGGAGGAGGAGGGGAGGCCCACACCCGGTCTGCCTGCACCACGGGGGGCTGCTGTGGGGGAGGAGGAACAAGCCAGATGTACAGGGGATGTTACTGTTCTAATAAAGTGCAGACTGGCCATCGCCCACCCGAGAGCAGCGTTGTTACTGAATCTGGCCCTGCCCAGGGATATAAAGGCACCTTGACAAGGGTCGTCCAAGAGGAGTTCATGGGGGTGTCCGTGGAGACTGGTGGGCCTCAGGAACTGCGCGTGCCAGGGCTGGCCGGGGGGCAGCGGGGCAGTCTTTCTTACCCCCCACCGTGGGGTTGGAACCGAAGCCAGGGGTGGCTCAGAGGCCCATGTCTCAGGCCAAGGCTGGGCCCAGGGCTGGACTGGACACAGCCTCTGCCATCCCAGAACCTGGGGCCACGTGTGAGGCAGCAGCCCTCATTTGGGGAGAGCCAAGCTCAATCTGGAAGGGGCCTTACAGCCCAGAATCCCACCTCCACCTGGGCCAGAGAGAGGGAGGGTCAGACCCTACCCTGCAGGACCTGGGTCTGGGTAACAGGCTCCACCCCAAGCCCCAAACCTGCCATTCATTCTGTGCTGGCTCAGTAGAGGGGACACAACCCGAAACACAGCCTCTGGGGCCTGGCTGTGGTCACAGAGCCCTCTGGCTGGTATGGGGGGTACCTCAGTCCAAGGTATAGGAGTTGCAGGCCCCAGGCCCCTTCAAGCTCGCCCAGGGCCTGGCCCAATTTGGAGCAGACCAGCTCTACCTGGGGCCAGGCTCCAGGGACCCCACTTGTCCCCGCCCCAGTCCCAGCCCCAGGGATACAGGGCCCAGGCCACGGGGATCTGGCTCCAAGGCCTGCACCTCTCTTGGAGAGACCGGCCAGTTTGGAAACTCTGACCGGGTACTCTCAGGTAAGCACTGCGCCTCACTCAAGCCCCGGCTGCGGCAGTGTGTGCGTGTGCGTGTGAGTGCCGTGTGCGTGTGCGTGTGCCCATCTGTACGGGGTGGTTCACAGAGATGGTGTTTGCCTCCAGCCCAAGCAGAGAAGCCCAGAGGTGCTGAATACCAGAGCAGGAAGGACTCTTCTTGTCCCCACCCCATCAGACTGGGAGAAACCAAGGCCCTGGGAGGGGAAGGGACTTCCCCAAAGTCAGGCCCCTGGTAGATATCGGAATTGGAGTCACCAAGCCAGGAAAGGCCAGGAGGGGGTAGGAGCTGTCTAGAAAGCCTGCAAGGCCAGCCCCACCACCTGTCGTCCTCAGCTGCTGCTCGAGACCCCTCGCTGGCCCTGGCCGCCTCTCTCCGGGACAGAGCCCCGTCTGTGCCCGGCCTCCAGGCGCTGGCTGCAGCAGACTCACCCCTCACTCCACGCCCGCTCACCCGTGCCCAGGGCCTTACCAGGCTCTGCCCCTCACCTTCCCAAACCTGGCCATCCCAGAGTGTACCATAGTCCTCTGCTCCTCAGGGATGGACGACTCACCCCTCCCCCCCTTCCATGAGGGGTCTCCCAGGCGCAGGACCAGCTCAGGCAAAGGTGTGGTGTGGGACTTTAACTGCTGTCTTCCCTGTGGACTGGGCCCTGCGTGGCATCCAGTCTCCCAGGGAGTCCCCAGGTAGGGAATTCAAACATCACCTAGTCCCGTCTGACCCCTCCTGCTGCAGCCTAGGCGCTCTTCCTTGTGGGCCTGGTAGAAGCCAAGAGCTGCACGGCCCGGGGTCTTCTGTGTCCTGGCCACAGCTTGGTGGCCTCTGTGGCCCCGGTGGCCCTTATCTGCACAGGGAAGGTCTGGGGGGTCGCTGACACAGCTGACCTGTGGGCTCCTCTGGGCCTCCCTCCGCGGTGGCTGGGAGCAGCTGAGCATCTAACCCAACTTCCTGAAGCATGGATGGGTAGGCCCGGCTGGGAGGGCAGGGAACTAGCCCGTGGAGACAAAACTCTGAGAACAAAATCCAAAGACTGCACCAGGGAACTGCCTTCCCCAAGGAAGGACCACTCTCAAGGGCATAAGGCCAGCCAGGGCCTCGCTCCAGGCCAACCCGGCTCAGAAACCTGCTCCAGGCTGTGACCCAGAGGCAGCTGCCTGCTCCTGTGACGTGGCCCCACACTCATGCCCTGGCTGACCTTACCCCTGCTCCTTCCTCCACAAGCAGGATCCCCACGATTCTTCCCGTCTTGTACCCAGAACCCTGCCAGTCCTTCAAGGCCGAGCTCATCCCCCGGGAGACCCTTGCTAACTTGCCGCCTTTGCTGGGTGGCTGATGCTCACGCATGCTGCGTGCTGTCCCGAGTGCTTACCTAGTCTCGGGCAGTGCTCACGGCCGCCCACAAGGTGGGTGTGATTATCTACTCCACAGAGAGGGACACCTGGGCATGGCCAGGCGAAACAGATGCCTTTGTCCAAGTCCAGCAGTCCTAGGAGGAGGGGCCCAAGGCCACACCCTGCCCGCTGGCTGCCCCTCCCTGCCCCGTGGGGGCACTACCTAGGGCCACCCGCCTGGCAGCGGGCAAGAGCCCAGCACACGGAGGGGACTAGGCTGAGGGGATGTGTGGGCTGTGGGGTGCAGCGGGGGCTGGTCTGCTGGGCTCCGCATGGCTTGGAACCCCAGGTTCCCACGTGCACGAAGGCGCCTCACCCCATGTCCCAGTCGAGGGGAACTGTCCACTCTAGGGCATGTCCGAGGCAGAAGGAGGTGGGGGGCTGCCTGGTGCTCCAGCTGCCCCTCACCTGGGCCCCCACCCAGGCCACCTTCCTCCATGGAACCCTCCTCTCCCAGCCTCTGTGGGGCAGCAGAGAGGCTGGGGTGGGCCCTGCCCTGACACTTACTACGTGTTTGCTGTGAGTTCCCCTCAGACTACCCCTTGTGTCCTATGCCCCCAAACCTCATCTGTTTGTATAGAAGCCACCACCCTCAGCGGCTCAGACCGGAAACTCCTCCCTCCTTTGCCACATTCCCTGAATCCCACCCACCCCAGCACTACCCCACCCTGGGCCTGATCCCTTTGCGAGCCCCTCCGCAGGCCCCCTGCTCCCAGCCTGCTCAGAGGAAATCCAGAGGCGCCCGCATGTCTGCCAAGCCTGGAACGAGGCCCACCCGAGCCCTGCCAGCCCTGCCCAGGGCCTTGTGTGGTCCCATCCGCCGTCGCTGCCCCCTCCCTGCCCTGCGCACCCCGGCCCTGCCAGCTTCTGAGCTCCCGGCCCCTCTGCCCCTCGGTCGGCACTTCACCCCATCACTGTCAGTGAGCCGCTCCGCTCCGGCTCTCTCCACTCTTCATTCTGCCCGTGTTTGCTTCGTTTATCACACTTTGCCCATTTGTTATGATTTTACTGGTCTGTTTCTTCATCTCTTCCGTCTTGAAAGCGCCCGTGGTGGGGCGCTCACCCCGGCCGGCACACAGTAGGTGCGCAGGAAGGGAGTGGCGCTCGGAGCCGGAGCGCAGGCCAAACCCGCCCCTGCCCAAGCAGCTGCTTTGGGGCCCAGCAGCTGATGAGTCAGGACAGAGACCGAGTGGCCTGGCCGGCAAAGGTGAAAGTATTTACTGTCTTTAAAGTGGAAAATTCCACTGACAAACAGCTGTCACTCTTGCCTCTGTAAACTGCTTGCAGGGGCCAAAGTGGCTCAAGACCCTGCCCCCGCTAAAGATAACCTCATTGTAACTGTGCCCCACTTCCTCACCCATTAACTGTGCCCCACTCCCTCTCTAAGCAAAATGCATAAAAGACTGCTATGTTCTTTATTCGGGGCTCAGAATTTGGGAGGAAAAATCCCCCTCTGAGTCTGCCGGCGTATAGAAACCTGTTTTGCCAAATTTCTGTGTGTGTCTCGGTCTATTCCCGGTCAACTCTGCTGTAACATTTGGTTCCCTGACCGGGAAGAGCCGAGTGCGCTGGCCCTTTAAGGCCACCGGCTCAGGACGGGACACACGGGCTGGCCGGCCCCTTACCACTGAAAGAGAGCAAGGCACACCATATCCCACTTAAGGATATTGTCCTCTTCACTCGGAGGGGCTCCGCCAACCGTGGGCCTAGGACCTCCCTGGAGAGCGGTGAAGTATCGGCAACCAGGCAACCAGGAAAGGACGTCAGATGTCGGCCGCGGTAAAGTCCCGGGACTCTGTCCAAAGGTAGCCAGGCCCGTCTCAGGAGGGAAAAGGAGCTTGATCACCGCCTGAGGAAAGGTTTAAGGTTCCCCAAAGGAGGGAGGGAACGTAATAACCTGTGTGTGTGTGAGCGTGAGTGCTACAGCTCCACAGCTGAAAAGCTACGGAGCTTGATTGGGTCCGTACCTGCGGTTCTGTGGCAGCGTCGTACGGCATAACGGTGACTCACCCTCCGAAAGGAGAGTGACCTGGCCTGGGGTTTATACAGGTGCACCTTCACCAAGACATGCCTAAATCCCCGCGAGGGGAGCAGCCAGGCAGACATCTGACAGTAAAACCCCTCCCTGTGCGACACCGATCAGTAGGACACAATGGGAGGGAAGGAATCCAAACCAACTGTCCTTAGATATATAATCAAAAATTTTAGGAAGGGATTTTCAGGTGATTACAGAATTAAGATGTCACCAAATCGCCTCCAGACACTTTGCGAAGAACAATGGCCTTCTTTTGGAGTTGGGTGGCCCGAGTCGGGCACCCTCAACACTACTATTATCCAGGCAGTCTGGAAACGAGTTACAGACACCCCTGGACACCCAGATCAATTCCCCTATATCGATTCCTGGCTAGAAATTGCCCAAACTCTGCCCCCTTGGGTCCGGTTCTGTGTAGAAAGGGACAGAGTAAGGTCCTCTTTGCTCAGAAGCCAAAAAGGTCTCTCGACCCCAATTTCAAGCCCATCCACCAAGGGCTGCCGGAAGATGAGCTCCCCCTGCCGCCTGCATGCAATC